GGAAATAAAATGGATTTCATAGGGCCCTATAATTATAAATAATTTTTTTGTGGTAATAAAAATATATATATATACGTAAGTGAACAATAGCCTTTAAAATGACTTAAAATACATATATAATAGCAATGAGGCAATAATAATTAGTTCAAATAAAGTATCAAAAGCAAGAAATCATATGGTTTTATTGAACAAAACTGTTAAAATACATAATGTATTATAAACAATAGAGCTAATGTACATTACGCATTACAACAAAGGCCTGCAGAGGACGCCAACGGCCCGATGATTATTTTTACACATTGCTGTGCGATCTAATACTTGTTTAATATTAACCAAGCACCATTTAATTCAAATGTCAACTTAATCTTTAATATTTGGCCATTTCTTTAGGACAGAAATGCTATAGCCACTGTAATTCAAATATTATGTGGACATCAAAACGTGTAAACTCAGAGTGAGGGTTTGAGCTTTTATTTTGAAACCGTGATGTATTCTCCTGTGTTTGCGTAAATTTATAAATGATTTACCTTACAAATCTGATGAAATGGCGCACGTTGCGTTCCCAGATGAACGTTATAATAAACCCAAACTCTCCACACATGTAAATGATAACAGTTCCTGTGGAACTACTGTGAACGGAGCCGCTGTGTGACGCACGTACTTAACCTACACGCATGTAAATAAAGCACATATACTGCGTTAGAACTGCATCGCATATAATTATTTAATTACATTGTAGCATTTGTGAATTCACAATTATGCTTAAATATGATTTCTAAATGTGTTTTATGGATTCTCGTCTGTGAAATGCGCCACTTCCGGTATTTTGACGGTTAGCCGACGAGAGCAAAATGAAGTCGAGGATTTTTAAAAATCGAATAGTCGAATAAAATCGACCAATCGCGACAGCCCTAATCTGATACAAAAATAATGTGTCAAAAAGGTATCATACACTACAGTGAGTTAATGAATTGAGATTACAGAGTGGTTTCAAATGATTTTCAGCTTGATCTAATGAACTGGTACCGCAGTGAGACACAACATCTTTAGGTGTTAAGCTAAATTTTGTACTTGACCAGTTTTTGTTTTTCTAATGTTGCAAATGCGTGACAGAATTGGCACAAAGTTTTGACAGAAAATAAGCACTTAAATACTTAAATAAAGACTAAATTAATATCATATATATAATTTACATATACACTATTCTAATAATAATAATAAACATTTTTGAATTATATTTAATTCATTATAAAACAAATAAAAATAGAAGGAAAAAAACTGATTTATAAATAATGGACAAATTAAGTTGGTCTGAGGACAAATGGTTTTAAGGGTAGTGAGGAAATTGTTTTTATAAAATAAAGAGAAATCAACTGAAATGGTACATTTTTTTAAAAACGTGCAAATGAAGATGTTGCTATTTGATAAACTAATGTAAGGTAATGCAGTTAAGGTTTTGTACCATGTCTAAAGGATCAATGTTTGAACATATTTATACATTATAAAACAAATAAAAATAGAAGGAAAAAAACTGATTTATAAATAATGGACAAATTAAGTTGGTCTGAGGACAAATGGTTTTAAGGGTAGTGAGGAAATTGTTTTTATAAAATAAAGAGAAATCAACTGAAATGGTAAATTTTTTTAAAAACGTGCAAATGAAGATGTTGCTATTTGATAAACTAATGTAAGGTAATGCAGTTAAGGTTTTGTACCATGTCTAAAGGATCAATGTTTGAACATATTTATGATGTTTTTGGGGTTAATTAAATACCCGAGGCATACAAATCTTTGCCTTGAATTGAACTTCTTTGCTTGTATGCCCTGACAAGCAGTTACAGTCAGAGGAGGCGTCTGAAGCTTCAGGGACACTTGAAACCAATTCCCAAGCCATCAATGAGCAAACAAGAAAACTCTCAGCTGTCTCAAGGTTGATGTGAAAGAGTTTCAGGGTGTTGGGGAGAGTGGACGAGGCTACAGGGCAACGAGAAACAGAATGTGACGAGGACAGCGAGAGACAGAGAGGTAGAGACTGCATTTAATCTCACAGTCTTTTATATTTAATACCCGCAGGTTCTTTTGCTCTCCCTTTGATCTGTTCCTGCCTAGATTTATTGCGATACACCAACAAAGCACAGAATCAACAAAATAAAATAATCAATGAAATGCGTGACTTGACTTGTTTCCCATCAAAACAGCAGCCGTGGGGTGATGAGAGAGGAACGGAGAGAGAAAAGTCGAGTACAATGTCACAAACAAACTGCTGACGGGCTCCTTAACAGAATATGACTAGCTCCTTCTTGCTTCTCTCGGAATACCACGCGCAAGCTATCAGCTTGTTTTAGATTGCTCATAAAGTAGGAATTAGGGGTTAGGCAGAATGCCGTGGTCCTCTGAAATCCACAACAGAGCCTGTGACGTTTGGAACAAGAACCAACACACAAATCCAGGATCAAACTGGATCCAAACAAACACCCCGAGGGACCGCTAAAGCTCCTGATGTGAAACTCATTAGTTCGGCAACTAATTGTCATTCTGTGTGGCGTGGCAAGGGATGACAGTCTATAAAAGACCCAGATGCACATTTAATTCAGTCAGGTAGGGCTGTCATTGTCAATTGATTGAAAAGTTAATTTTTTATCATTTTATTTATTTATTTAAATTCATAATTAATTGCACTAATTTAACAAACTAAATTAGCCTCCTTACAAAAAAGTGCTGTCAATAGTGCCCTCAACACAAATGCTGAGAAGCAACAAATAAAAAGCTTGCTGCAGTTGATGGTGTTGCAGGACGGGCCGTCTCTACTGAAGGCCTGTGCAGACACTGATGTGCCTCTATAGACGCAGATGTGCCCCTGCAGGGGTGTGAAGACATAGAGGGGCGGAGAGTGATGGAACATTCGATCTACTGCCCTACTGCTCGCAGCTGGACCATACGCTTGAGAGCCACCAGTGAGCCAAAGAGCCCAGCTCGGTTTTCATTTTCACCTAAGAGGGGCCATTACTGAGACGTCTAACACATCTGTTTATAGAAATAAGTGGCCAGATCAATTACAATCAAAGCACGGGATACTAGGAATCTACCTCACCTCATCAATTCAATACTATGTCATTTACAACCATTTTGACTGATTAAGTGCAATTTTCCACTGTTCTGGCTAAAATGCCACTCCTAACAACCAACTGTAAATTACTTAAAACGATAGTCTACACAACAATGGAAATTCTGGCGTTATTTACACATTCTCATGTTGTTCCAAATCTGTATGCATTTTAATTTTATCTGTGAAACAGAAATTATATTTTGTTTCGTTCCCAGTGACTTCAACTGCATTTTTTGTTTATATAATGGAATTCAATGGGAACTAAAAGTGGTTGGTCACCAACATTCTTAAATATCTTCTATTATGCTTCACAGTAGGAAAAAAACAAAGAAAGCCATATAGGTTTGGATTGGGTTAGTAAATAATGACCATTTTAATTTTGGGGTGGGTTATCTTTTAATTAAATGGAGAGATTTTATGTGTGTGCATGCAGTTTGTACATTTTTGAGTGAAGTAATTATTTTAACAATACATGTAATTGACTATTTCTGGCTAAATGTAAATAAACAGATTATTAAAAACGGTTACCTTTTTATTCTTCTTCAGTGTGATCTTAATAAAATTGCTAAGATCTAATAATTACTCTAAGATCTTTAAAAATAATTACAACTTGAAAACTGGCTGCATAAAGCTATTAGGAATGTCCTGCTATTAAAATTCTTAATTGCTATTAAAAAAATCATAATTATGACTTTTTTGTAATTTTCCACTAACCAATTTATATTATTAAAATGTTATACTATTTCATATAGATAAAATGCTTTAAATGAAGTTAACAATAAAACACTAAAAATCAAAATCACTAGTTTAAATGCTACAAGTGAATCATCATTGTAACATACAGTACAGTATGCTGCATTTTTAGAGCAGAACTATCATGAAAAATGAAGCACACTGATTTTATTTTTCCTTTAATTTCAGTTTAGTAACATGTTAAGTGGCCCTTTACATTTAGAAAAAAACTACAAGTTATGAACAAAACATATATTTATAAAATGAAATAATTTTCTTCCTTTGAAACACTGCACAACATTTGCACCTTTATGAGATTCATACATTTATACTTTTAACTGTAGTATGCCAGGCTCAAATGACTGAACGGACTAGTTAGCATACTCATGGCTAATGTTTCTATTATCGCACTTTGTCTCTAGTGCACACATAAGTGCCACCAAGCAAATCTGGTCTAAAACAAAACCTAACCATCACATTTTTGATTGATTTACAGTAAAGTTAAACTAAACTGTGTGTAATTTAGTAGTGCTAAACATTGTGCATATGTCATAATTAAAGGCAAAATATTGTACAGCTTGTTATATACATATTTTCATTCAAAAGTTTGGGGTCTCTAACATTAAAAATAAAAATGAATAAATAAAAATGATTTTACTGAAAAAAAAAAACTTTTATGCTCACCAAGGCAAAGCTGCATTTATTTGATTAAAATAATACAGTGTACAATACAATAATATTATAATATTAAATATTTAATATTTCTATGTATGATTCATTATGTTTTGTACTGAATTATCAGCAGCCATTAGTGTCACATGATTCAATGAGTGTCAAATGATTCAATAAATCGTTTTCTTATTATCTTCCATTTCTTAACATTGTTGAAATCAGTAGATTCTCTGATAGAAAGTACCAAAGAACAGCATTTATTTAAAATATACTTCTTTTGTAACATTATAAATATCTTTCTTGTCAACTGTGATCAACTGAATGCATCCTTAATATATAAAAGTATTAATTTTTGTCAAAATAGTAAATAAAAAACAAATAAATAAATACTGTATATATGATTATTTAGGGCTGAACCCTGTATGTTGGCCAATGCTGTGCTGTTTACGTGAGCATGTCTATACTTTGTGGTAGATTTTTGTGTTTTTACCTCCTTGTCTGGTGAACTCATCTGCTTCATGATGCACCAGGTCAGTCACACATCCCCCATAATGCAGGCGCGACTCATGATCGAAAGCCTTCAGGGTCTCGCTGGAGCTGTAGGACTTCTGGGTGGGTACGCGGCATTCGTCGTGGTCCAGGGAGGAGGTGGTGAACTGGAAATCTTTCCCACAGCAGCCGTGGGTCAGTGTACGGTGCCTGCGCTCCTTCAGATCCATGACAGCTGCTGCAGCCCGATGATCAGATCAGTCAGCAAGGTGGAGGTCTCAACAGCTGTACAGTCCTTCACCTGGTAATACAAGACAACACAAATCAATAGAGTACAAAATGTTCCCTGCTGAAACGACCAGCATGGACTGCTGATTTGAGCTGGTTAGTGCTGGTATTGCCAGCAGAACAACATAGCCATAGCAAAGCAAATCTCATCCAGATAAGCTTTCTAGAGAATCTTACTGACTAACGAAGTTTCAACAGCACTACAGAATCCAAAATACAGGCAAAAACTGAATCAGAACTTATATATGCACTTTATTTTACAGTATGTGCACTTACAGTGTACCTACCTAAGAAAGCACTGGGCTATATAAGATGACTACATGGGTTAAGATTAGGTTTAGGGGTAGGTTTGGTATTAGTACCTAGTTTTTACCCAGTTATTGTAATTACTATAATAAGTACTTGCGGAACAGGACTTTAAAAAAAGGTCTACCAAAATGTATCTTTGGTACATGGTGCATTCATAAACAAAACAGTAGAGAAACATCTAAACAAAAAGAAGCAGCTGTCATTACAGCCATAATCACAGATGAAATAGTGGAGCAGGAACTGAGACGTGTGGAGGAGTGAAGTCATGATGCCGATGAAGAATGAGTGATAGAGTGAAAAAGAGGAGAAGGGGGAGGAGAAAGGAAATGACTTGAGGGCATTGTGAGTCTCTCCCTCATTATCGCAGACAGAGTGAGAAAAGCTCCCTCTGTGGCCGTGAGAGGATAATCACAGATGCCTGGATGTGCCGCGGAAAACAGGGAGTCGAACACAGCCCGGCTGTGTTTTTTTTTTTTTTTTTTTTTGAAAGTGCTTTTAATGTTAAAATATTTTGCTAAATTAAAACACTTTTTTTGTATTTTGGGGGTTTTATTATAAATGTGAATTAATATTATTACTGTGAAATTCTAATTATTATTATTATTATTATCACTATTATTATTTTTATTTAAACTCAGTAATGAACCACATTGTATTATGTGATTAACTGTGGTAAATTTGATTTAATCATAAAAACACTACAATTCAAAAGTTTGGGGTATTTATTATTTTTTTTGATAAACTGTTTTTTTATGTGATTAAATGTGTTTATTTACATTAGCTGTGACTAATTTAATCATAAGTACATTACCATTCAAAAGTTTGGTGTAAGAAAGAAATTAATACTTTTAGTGAGCAAGGACACATTAAAAATCGATTAAAGTGACACTAAGGACATCTGTAAAGTTACAAAATATTTACATTTCAAATAATTGTTGTTGCAAAGAACCAAAAAAAAAAAACTATAAAAAAATTGTTTTTCAAAAATGGTAAGCGGAAATATTTCTTGATCACAAAATCAGCATATTAGAACGATTTCTGAAAGATCATGTGACTGAAAAATTAAGCTTTGTAATCAGAGGAATAAACCACATTTCTAAATATATTAAACAGAATACTGTTATTTTAAATCATTATAATATTACTGTTTTTACTGTATTTTTGAGCAAATAAATGTAGCCTTGGTGAGAAAAAATCTTATCTGTAAAATGAAACCCCTAAATAAATGTAAAATCAACATAAAATGATGATAATAATATTATTATTATTATGGTCAATCCTTGTTTGGGTCATGGAAAGGTTTGCTTCACAAGTCTTGGAGAGAGAGGGGTGTGTGATAAGCATAAACTTAAAACACACATATACACACACACACACACACACACACACACAAATGCTGAATTAATACAGAGCATGTAATCTCAAAAATAAAATACATTCATTTTCTCTGCACAGTTTTTCTTTCATTTTTTTAAATTCACCTGTCAGTGTGCAGCTCATCAGAGCATGTGCACTACCCACAAAGGCCATGTTTCTGACACAAATGCCATTCTAACTTTAGACATGATTCCACGGTTTTAACGTGAAAGCGAATGTACAGTAATTAGACACTAATTAAAAGTAAATTCACCCACACTGGTCCAGCTGCAGGCATCCTTCCTCCACAAACACGCACCGTTATTATACCTGAGCCGTCTGAGTACAGAGAACGTCAGGGGTAACTTTAGCCGGCCCCTCTGTGCCTGTCTGTTTTACTAAGTGCGGTCAGAACAAACTCGGCCTGCTCCTGTCCCCCTCAACAAGTGCTCTCAACGCTGTTCCTCCTGCATTAGCTTGATTGGAGGAGAAGTCCACTGCCCCAGGGACGGTCCGGCATTCGGCGCAGAGAGGATGATTTTCCTGCACGGCAACAGATCGTTACATAACAACACGGCCACTAGCTGTCCTGCACATACTGAAAGTAATTGAATATGCAGAGGAAAAATAATCAGGTCACCTAACGCGATAATTATTTACTGCGAAACACTCGCATAAAAGAATGAGAGAGACAAAGCGTGCGACACTGGCTTAATGCGGATTCATTAAAGGAGACTATAAGGTCATTTTAAGATTTGCCTCCAGTGTCTGTTGATTAGAAGCGGATATTTAATGTTTATAAAGGCCTCATTATGGGCTCAAATAAAACATTCAATCACTGAGGCCACTAACGGTTTAGAATGGGAGTGTTTACTACGGCGAATATAAAACGGATTATGTAACGCAGGAAAAGTCTTTGTTTACAAATTAATGACCAATTACCGTATATGTATGTTCAAATACGAAACTGTCCATTTCAAGTTCTTCTATTCATTGCATCTGACCTTTCTTCACTCCAGCAGGCCTGCACTAGAAAGCTTTATTGATGTCTGGAGTGGGTTATTTGGTCAGCCACTGGGCTGCAGGGGCCGTTCAGAGCGCTGATTTAAGGTGCAGTGACATTGTGGGTTTCTGCGAGAGCGTCACATGCGCGGGCGTGTGGATGGAGGAAGGGCTAGTTAAAGGAGGGCCCTGGGGCTGCTCTAACACCACAGTGGTGAGATGATGCACGATGGTGTGGAGGAGAACCGGGTCAATATGAGCCCAGGCTGCAGCACAACCAGGTCAGACTTTCCATTCATTACAGGCAGTGGAGGAGAAGTGAGGCCTCAGGGCTTAGAGTAGATCCTGCCTCCCTCTCCTCAGGCTCAGCCCGCTGATACTCCCCCCTCCACAGGACAGCCATCCTCCCCAGAGAGAGTGATGGGGAATGTGATGAAGACAGAGCCATGGAGTGAAGAGGAACAACAGGATGGTGGAAGAATCTAGGACATGTGATTAATCTTTCTCTTTCTTTCCTTCTTTCTTTCTTTCTTTCTATCCATGTGCTTGTCTGTCTATCCATCCATCTATCTATCTATGGTCCTCCCCAGAGAGAGTGATGGGGAATGTGATGAAGACAGAGCCATGGAGTGAAGAGGAACAACAGGATGGTGGAAGAATCTAGGACATGTGATTAATCTTCTCTTTCTTTCTATCTATCTATCCATCCATCTATATATCCATCTATCTATCTGTCTGTCTATTTATCAATCTAGCCATGTCTATCTATCTGTCTGTCTGTCTGTCTGTCTATCTATCTATCCATGGGCTTATCTATCTATCTAAGTATTTATCCGTTTGTCTATTTATCAATATATCTATCCATCCATACATCTATCTATCCGTCTGTCTATCTGTGTTCTTGTCTATCCATCTATCTGTCTATCTATCCATCTGTCTGTCTGTCTGTGTTTATCTATCCATTTGTCTGTATATTTATCGATCTATCTATCCATACATCTATCTATCCGTTGGTCGGTCTGTCTATCTGTGTGCTTGTCTATTCATCCATCTATCTATCCATCTATCCGTCTGTCTGTCTCTCTGTCTATCTATCTGTTTGTCTGTATATTTATCTATCTATTTATCCATATGTCTATCTATCCATGGGCTTGTCTATCTATCCATACGTCTATATATCGATCTATCCGTTTGTCTATTTATGAATCTATCCGTATGTCTATCTATCCATCTGTCTATCAATCTGTCTATCTATCTATCAATCTGTCTGGCAGTCTATCTAGCCGTACATCTGTCTGTCTGTCTGTCTATCTGTGTGCTTGTCTATCTATCAATCTATCTATCCATACATACATCTATCTATCCATCTGTCTGTCTGTCTGTCTGTGGGGGTGGGCGATATGAGCTAAAATTCATATCACAATATTTTACACTGTCCAGGCGATATCGATATTATATTGCGATATGAGAAAAAAAAATTACAGGCAAAATATTGTAACCTTATATAACGAGAAAAAGTGAGGGATTAGACATAGACCTGAAAAGTCTTTTTTTATTGTGCCATCGTTTTTCTCAAAAAGTGCAAACATGCAACATGGTAGGCCTGTATGAATTAAATTAAATTAAATTAAATTACATTTGTTTGAGTAGGCCAGTGGTTCTCAGACGTTTTCTGCCGGGCCCCCCTTTTGTAGAGAAAAATATTTTCAAGGCCCCCCAATCCCCCAACTTTTTGGGAAAGTCTCTTATGCTCACCAAAGCTACATTTATTTATTAAAAATACAGTAAACACTGTAATATTTTAAAATATTGTCAACTTAAATTATCTATTTGAATGTTTTAACATATAGGCTACTGTATTCCTGTGATCAAATCTGAATTTTCAGCATCATTACTCCAGTCTTCAGTGTCACATGATCCTTCACAAATCATTCTAATATGCTGATTTGCTGCTCAAGAAACATTTCTGATTATTGTCAATGTTGTAAACATTTGTGCTGCTTAACATTTTTGAGGAAACTATTTTTTCACGATTCTCTTATGAATATTTGAAATTGTTCTTTGTGTCAGAGCACTGGAGTTCGTCAGAAATAGAACGAGCATCAGTTTACTGTCATGGATTTGTCGTGTCGCGCCGCATCCACAGCAGAGAACATTGCTTTTGTCAAATCGTGCTGCTTTCGTCTGGTGTAGACGTTGTTTTGGTATTTGTGAATCTTAAGTATATTCATAATCTGCTTTACGTTTACCTGGCACTGGCAGTATTTTCACAAACTTGTAACTTACATGCTTAGAGCAGAACCATACATTGTTCATTTATATTTCTTCCTGGCTGCCTGCAATACA